TTTAGAGCTCTACATCCTACATTAAAAATTAAGAAAAAGCACAAATAAGTGGCTTAATGATGCAACTCAAAACGTCGCAAAGAATAAGCAAATTCAACAAGTTTTTGGCAAGAAATAATAAAAACCAGAGCAGAAATCAATGAAATAGAAATAAAGCAAACAATCAAATAGTCAATGAATCTAAAAGCTGGTTATCTGGGAAGACTAACATATTGGCAGATGTTTAGCACAAGTCAACCAAAGAAAGAGATAACCGAATTTATCAGCATCAAAAAGTGAACAGAAAAACATTACAACAAACACCAGGAAATACAGAATATTATAAGGGAATATTTTGAAACCTTGTCCACCATTAAGTTGAAAAACATAGGAGAAAAACATGCATTTCTAGATTCAGCCAAACAATCCAAATTAACCAAATAGTCAACAACCTAACCAGACCCATAGCAAGTAAGGAATTTGAAATAGTAATGAAATACCTCCAAGATTAAAAACAGAGTCCAGAAGCAGATGTATTATAGCAGTATTCCACCAGACATTTCAAGAAGATCTACAGCTAGTCTTTGTCAAACAATGGAAGAAAATAGAATGAGAAGGATAACTCCAAAACTACTTCTTTGAAGCCAGTACTGTTCTAATAACCAAACCTGCAACAAAAAATAAAAGTACAAGGCAATATCCCTGATGAACCTAGACTCAAAAATACTCAAGAAAATACTTGCCAAGAGACTACAGACATACATTTATAAAAAGGTTATATACAACAACCTCATTGTCTTTATCTCAGAAATTCAGGGATGGTTCAAAGTACACAAGTCAAGTGATGTAATAAAACACACAGTGGACTTAAGGACAAAAATCACATGATCATCGCCTAGACACAGAAAAGGCCTTTAGCAAAATCCAACATGTCCTAATGATAAAAAGTCCTAGAGAATGTAGGGTAGAAGGAACACAACTCAACACAACAAAGACTATACATGAGAAATCCACAGCCAACATCATCATATATGAGGTAAAACTTGAATCATTCCCTTTGATGTCAGGAATGAGTGACAGATATCTACCAGTGCCATTCCTTTCCAACATTGTGCTTGAAGTACTAGTTGGAACAATAAGCCAAGAGAAGGAAATTAGAGAGATACATATAGGGAAAGAAGAAGTCAAATTCTTTGTATTTGCAAATGATAGGTTATTATACATTAAAGATCCCCAGATTTTACTAGAAAATTTCTAGACACGACCAAAACATTCAACAAGATGGCACTATCCAAAATCAACTTGTACAAATCAATATATTTCTATATCTCACCAAATAACATACAGAGAAGAAGATCTTGGGCACATGCCCAACACAATACATCAAAGAAAATAAAATATCCATGAAAAACCTAACCAATGATGTGAAGGAACTCTAAAAGGGGAACTAAACCTCTGAAAAGGACATAGAGAAAATCACTAGAAAGTGGAATGACATCCCATGCTCATGGATTGGTAGAATTAACATTGTGGCAATAACTATTATACTAAACGTTACTTAGGGATTCAGTGCAATTCTAATCAATATCCCCATCTCATTCTACATAGAAAGAGAAAAACACTATCCTTAAATTTATATTGAATCACAAAAGAACTGGATAATAAGAACAAGAATTATCAAAAATAACATGTTTGTGAAGGTAACAATTTCAGTTCTTAAGGTGTATTGCAAAGCCATAGTAATAAAACAACATGTTGCTTCATAGAAAAATGGAACAAAATTGAAGGCCCACATGAGCACATGTAACTTCAATCACTTAATATTTAACAAAGATGACAAAAACATCTGATGGAGAGAGATAGAAAGACATCTTCAATGATTGGTGCCAGTAAAACTGGATATTCACGTACAGAAGAACAGAAAGAGCAGTTTCTACCACTTAGCGCAAAAAAAAAAAAAAAAAAAAAACTAGCTCCAAATAGATCAAAGACCTAAATGTAAAACCCAAAACATTGAAACTGCTAGAAGAAATTATAAGCAACATCTTACATGATGTAGGGGAAAGGACTTTCTGATAGGATTCCATTTGTCCATGAATAAATTGAAAAGTGGGAATTTATGAAACTAAAATTCTGCACAGTTAAGAAACAACAACAGGATGAAAAGGCAGCCCACATAATGGGAAAGAATATTGCCAGATATGCATCTGATAGGATTAATATCTAGAATAAACAAATAACAAAAATAATAAAAGCAAAAATATTAAAAATAAAACACACCAGAAAAATATACCTGAGATGTAAATAGAGAGCTAAAAAAAAAACAAACAATAACAAAAAATGATTAAAATTGTCTAGAAAAATATGTTACTTATCTCTACAGTTTAGAGAAATGTAAATGAAAACAACTTGGGATTTCATCTTACCCCAGTCTGAAAGGCAAATATCCATGGAAGACCTGACAGAAAGTGCTGGAGGGGATTCTGGGAAAGGCAGGACACATTAGCTCTGGTTGAGCTTGCAAACTGGTGCAGCTACCACTAAAATCAGTTTAGATAATTATCATAAAGCTAAAAATTAGTATCCTATATAACCCAGCCACACCACACCTCAGAATACGACCAAAGGACTGAACATCTTCCTTCACAGATAATTGCTGTATAATGTTTATTGTTGCTTTGTTCACAGTAGGTAGGAGGTAGAAACAATCTAAATGCTGATCAACTGATGAATGGAGAATGAACATGTGGTACAGATATTCTATGAGATACTCTTCAGTGGTAAAGAAAAATGAAATCAGTAACATTACATGGAACTAGAAAAGATCATATTGAGTGACATAACCAGATCCGGAATGCTAACATCACTTGTTCTCCCTTATTAGAGGGTCTTATCTCCAAATCTTCAGTTGGGGGTTCACAGCTCATAGTAACTACAGAAACCAGGAAAGTGAAATGGGACCATTGCCAAGATAGGGGGATTGGGGAACAATAACAAAGAGATTAGTAAGGTACAGGTTATCTGATTAGGGAAATGGAGAATGCCGGGGCTCACGAGGGAGGGGAGGGGTGTAAATACAGAAGAAAAAGGGGGAGGGTAACGGGAATATCAGGGTTCAGGTAATCCTATAGGGGAAATGGAAGAGGGAGGCCCTTTAAAGAAGGGGAGGGAAATAAATACAAGAGAAGTGGGTAGAGGAAGTGTAAGGATGTCTGAAAATGCCAGAAGGAACCATATTATTAACTATTTATCAAGAAAATAAATTCCACAATGCAATACATACAGATAGATATGAATAGTTTTGATAGATTTTTCTCATGTAGGCTGATGGTGCTTCCTCCAAGAGCCAAGAATCACCTTTAAAAAAACCAATGTCATACATGAGAAGCCCTCTTTTGAGTTTGTGGCCAGGGCTACCCAAGAGACTCCCAAATCATACAGCCTGTTGCTGTTGCCTTTGGTTACCCTGCAAAGGTGGTGAGTCCATATTGCTGATGTTACCAGTCATTTCAGACACAGGACCCACAAACCACTAAGCTAGAACTGACCTGAGTGTCCCTTCCAGAGGACTAATGTTCTTGGTACAAGAGAGTGTCATACAAGTTTCCAAAGGAGGAAGGCAACCAAGAGTTCTACCCAGCTATGATGCCTATGGGCCACATCGACAATCAGTATGCACAGTAATCCTACAGGTGCAGTAATCACACACACACACACACACACACACACACACACACACACACACACACACACACACAAAACATTTGTACACATGCAATAACAATTAGTAAAATAATATGAGGCCATGGATTTGAAGGAAGTGGGAGGGGGTACACTGTAGACTTTGGATGGAGGAAAAGAAGGAAGAAATTTTGTGGTTAAATGATAATCTCAAAAATGACAATTAAAAATACAATAACATCTCAACTAGAAAGATCAGCATGGTAGCCCAAGCTGCAACTTGTGTTTCCTATTCCACCCTGGGTGCTGTGTACCCTGCTCGAGAGAAGTCCATTTCACCCACATCTGATGACTATGAAAGAGAAGCATGGCTCCCTTCTTAAATGTGTTTCTCTGTTAAAACAGAGAGGATGTAATTGTCATGGGTTACTGGTATATCTAATGGTGCTGGTTTTTCTTATAGAGGGAAATGTAAAAGATGCATGAGCAAAGTGGCCATAGATTTAGCTATTTATTTCTGTCTTAGGACATAAAATCACCCATAAAGATAATAAAACAATTACCAAAATGTCATCTAAGAAATTACATGAAGACAATTAGGAGCATGTAGCTCTGTTACATTTAAACCAGTATTAGTAGACTCGAGGAAGAAGACTCATGTTTTTAAAAGGTGGAGCTTCATATAAACGCTGAGAGAATCTCAGTGTGGGAAAAGGCCAAGTGATGTTCATTGTGTAGACTGAGCTGGAAGAGCAAGTCAGTTTGTGTTCGGAGGAAATGTTTTAAGGGCGAAGGGGCCCTTTTTCAAAAGTTCAGATCACTCCACAGAGTTCAATAATTTACGTGATTCTTCACTTGTCCTGGAATTCTGAAATCTATGAGTATTTTTTATGCAGTGTGACTTCGCTCCCCAAAAAAACTCATTAAAAAATGCCTTAAAATTGGCATTTACTGACTGGGCCTGGTGGTGCACACCTTTAATCCCAGCACTTGGCAGGCAGAGGCAAGCAGATCTACTTGAGTTCGAGGCAAACCAGGTCTACTGACCAACTTCTAGGTCAGGCTCCAAAGCAATATAGAGACACTCTGTCTCGAAAAAATCAAATATAAAAATTTGCATTTACTTAAAACAGAGAAAATACGACCTTTGAAGTAGCAGTGATCCTCAATCCAACACAAGAGTTCATGATTTCCATGTCTTGTAGCAAATATTGCCACATTATCTATTTACTCTCTGGCCACCAGGTGGCGCAGCGCCCTTATACCATAGTATTTCCTGTGTGAATTTAAGACTCATTGATTCTGTTTTCAACAAGCTAAACATCTAGAACATTGTCTAGATGCCACTAAATATGGACTCTTCCACAGGCTTCGTGACTGCGATGCTCCTCATACTCGGTAAGTAAAGTGATTTAAACCTTTGAGACTTTTATATCAAAAAAATAAAAATAAAAATTTGAGCACTAAATCCATCCAAGAGCTTTCTCTTTAAGGTGACATACATATCTGTTTTGTTTTTGTTTTCCTCCAGCAAGGACCCATGGGGACTCAGTGACACAGACAGAAGGTAAAGTGACCCTCTCAGAAGAGGACATTCTTACTATTCACTGCAACTATTCAGCCTCAGGATACCCAACCCTATATTGGTACGTGCAGTATCCCGGAGAAGGTCCACAGCTCCTCTTCAGAGCCACGAAGGCCAACGAGAAAGGAAACAGCAGAGGTTTTGAAGCTACATATAATAGAGAATCCACTTCCTTCCACTTGCAGAAAACCTCGGTCCAAGAGTCAGACTCGGCTGTGTACTACTGTGCTGTGGGTGACACAGTGACAGAAACCACAGGGGGAGCTGAACACAAACTCAGCACCAGGGGCCTGGCTGCTGAGCTCCTGCCTCTGGAGTCGCTTTGGTTCCTCTGTGCTGTGTTCCTCTCTGTATCTCTGGTTGGCACACAAATCATACAAATAAATAGCAACAGAAGAAGAACGAGGAGTCTTCCATCCTCAACTCTGATTGGGACTAAAGCAGAATCTGTGCAAACGTCCCTCATGCGAAGCCTGAGATTCCCCCCAGTAAAGCCACGTGACTAAGGAAGTTTTCGCTTATCATAGGAGAAGTCTGTCCTTGACATTTTCTTCCATAACATTCTGGTAGAGCTGGCTGTCTCTCATATTTACAGGGAACAGGACAAGCCCAGAAAGGGGGCTTCTGCATAATGTTTTCTGAAAGTATGGAGGGAGAGGTGACAGGAGAGCCCAGTGTCCCCAGCACTAGGATTCCTATAGAGAAGGAAAGAGGACCGAGCCAGGCCTGCAGCCTAAGTTCTTAGAGGAAAGGAACTTCAACTGTGCTTGGTGAGTTCTGCTTTACTGTAAGATCGGAATGACGCTGAAACACAAGAGTGTGAGGAGCAAGGATGGAACTTTTCAGACACCCGAGCATTTACAAGGCAACCGGCTCTCTAAAGAGTCTCAGAAGTAGTTTCGGTGCTTGAGGAAGGGCAAGTACACACCTAATGCCCTCCCACATAAAATACATGCAGCATAAAGTGGACACCATCTACTCTCTCACGCTGAGTTCAGGCTGTGATACATAATGTTCCACAGGATATGTGCAGGCCTGAACTGTCAACGTGAGCTTATTGTGGGGAAAGGTCCCAGCTCTCTGTAGCAGCAATGCTGGTTTTTGTTCAGCTTTCTGAACTTCCCAGATGGGGTCCTAGTCTGTCTAAACAGGAAACACTTTCCATAGAAAATTCATGAACCAGCCTCTACCATCTTCAAGTCCCAGCTCAGGTGTCACTTCTGTGAAGACCACAGATTCCTCTGGTCTTCTGATGTAAAGATTTGTGACCTTTACTCGGTCATAGACCTGTTACTCTATCATAGTCTTCCTGTTACTCTGTCAAAGTCCCCCTGTTACTGTCTCATAGCCCTTGTTACTCCATCATAGCCTCCTCATATTCTAACATAGCCCACACATATGCATCCCATCCCATCTCTGTCTGCATTGTAACCCTCACTTTAAACATCATAACTCCTTTGTTCCATTAACATCTCTGCCACAGTCCTTCCCTTAAACTGCCACAGCTCCCACTTGCTCTCTCATAGCCCCTTGCTCTATCGTCACTCTCCCTTATTCTACTTATTCCATTATAGCACTATGGTCATCTTATGTTGAGATTCACAAAACTGAACTATACAGTTCATTTGTGTGTCAGTGTGTTCATTGTCAATTTCTCCAATTAGAATAAAATTTCTAAGATGCCAAGATGTTGGTCCATCAATTCATAGCAGCTTTATTCTTAGCATATAGACTTGTGAATGATCTGCTGTAATCAGTTCAGAAATATCTACTGGATGCCTGAGTTAGGAGGCAAATAAAGCAAATAATGTCACTTGACACTTCTCTGTCCATTTTCTCTTCTTATTCCTACATGAACAACTCTGACTTACTGTGTGCTCTCTGCTTGGTTGCATGGTACACAATCATGCTCTAGGAATTTCCATCCACATTCAGATATAGTTTTCCTGGGCTCAATGTCATCTGTCTACTAATTACATCTTCAGAGTCCCAGTCTTCCTTCACATAACTCAACTCTCCTCAGCAGCTGTAGCCAGAGGCTGAATCAAACCACAATTCGAGTAACCTAATGGAGAAACCTCAAAAAGTAAAAGATGGTATAATTAAAAGATTTGAGAAAATGTAAAATAACTCTAAAGTCAGGAAATGATGAGCGCGTTTTAAATTTTACTTCAAACCAAAGCAAGCTATAAAGGTCCTAGGGAATTAAAGTAGTGACCTTGGGAGATATTTTATAGGAGATTTGATTTTTTCTTTTATATTATATTTATTTTATTTTTAACATTAAGTATAATTACATCATTTCCCCCTTTCTTTTCCTTCCTCAAACCCCTGTAATGAATGTCCCTTTGCTTCCTTAAAATCATAGTCTCTTTTTTATTTGTAACTATTACACAAGGAAACACAGACTCAGACAGACAGACAGACAGACAGACAGACAGACAGACAGAGAGCAGATCTGGTTCATCTATTTCCCGTTCAGAACTGACTGAGGAGTTGTGGTCATCTCCTGCGTAGCTCAGTCTGCTTAGTGTTACTCATATATAATTCCAGGGCTGGTCATTTGGGCTGGGTAACCAATTAGGATGTTCAATCCTGTGGAGGACTATTTCCCACTCTCAGTACTTCTCAGTGCTGTAGTTGTTTCCCTATAGGTGAGGTCTCAGGAGATTTCCCATCTCCATGTTAGTATGTCTATTGGTGTTGAACTTCTTCAGGTCTTGTTTAGATACAGAGAACAAGTGAGGCACCCAATTCCAACTGATGCATTTACAATATATGTCCTCTATTTAAATCTCAGGAAACAGCAAGGAATAGAGAGTGGAAAGGTTGAAGGAGCCAGAGGGCCAGGAATATTGAAATTGTGTCTCCTAGAAATGAGAGGAAACCTCACTTGGAAGATTTTATTTTAAAAACATACAGTTAAAGGTTGTTGTAGTGGTCAATGGACTGGTAAAACCATCTTCCCAATTTTTCTGCTGTGGTTATAAGGTCCTTCCCACACTCACTAGTCATCTGGGTGTGCCCCACTAATGTCACAGGGGTTCTTCCTGTTGAAGTACATCATAGGCTTCTTGCTCATGTGTGTCCACAGAAGTAGAAATTAATGTCCACAAGTAAGTAAATTTCCCAACCTTCATGAAAAGACTTAGAAGACCACCATGGAGAATGCTAACTCTTTAAATTGTAATTCAAAATTTCTAGTGTACATTTCTGCTCACACCATAGGACGTTTTCCACCAGGACCCCAGCCAGTTGGGTTGGACTCAGTATAAGAGAGCCAGACCACATAGAAGTCTATCGCCTTTCCCTCAGGAATCTTGTCTGCAAGGTCTCAGGCCCTATGGTCTTACTCTGTAAGATTGGTCCAGCTCCAGTGTGGCTTTCATAGTGCTGGAAGGTGCTATTATTGCTACTGGAGTAGAAAAGAAACCATTAATCTTACTCAACTACCAACCCAACCTAGGGAGCTACAATAATGACTGGCCTGGCATGACTTTCCTACTGTTCAGTAATGTGGCACAAATAATGAAACCCAGAGACAGATATTTGAGTTCAAGCTGAAGATCATAAAAGCAAAGTAACCAAGCCTCCAGAGAGCTCTTACCTCTACCAAGGCTGGTGGAGGAAGCCTGTCCTCAGTGTAGATGAAGACTTATTTCCAGAATCTGAGACCCTACTCCTATCATGTATACCTCTCTAGTGCTGTGATTAAAGGCATGAGCTCTGTTTCTCTTTTAGACTGATACTCTCTCATGTAGTCCTGGGTGGCGAACTCACAGAGATCCATTTGCCTTTGTCTCCTGAGTCCTAGATTAAAGGTGTATGCTTTCACCATCCAGTTTTCATGGCTGTGGCCAGCTTTATGTTCTGATCTCTCGGCAAGTTTTACTAGATCGTAAACAATATATCAGCACACAGTAGTAACACAAACATCTTAGTAGTAAGCAACCGCTTTCTTATTTAAGTCCTGCTCAATAAAGTGAATCTCATACCTGGCACTATTTGTGTGCCAAGAAACTATGTCTAGAAAGATCATAGACACAAATAGCTTATTATACTACCCACTGGTTAATGAATATTTCAATCCCCATCAGAGAAACTAGTTTTTTCAGTAGATGGGTAATAACACAGAGACCAACAACTTGCTAAGGTACAGAGATTAACAGACTGCAGAATACTCAGACCAGTGTGTGTGTGTGTGTGTGTGTGTGTGTGTGTGTGTGTGTATGTGTGTGTGTGTATCACCCCCCACTCAGTTCTCACAGATTACTGTGGGAGAGGGGGAAGAAAAAGAAAAAGTCTTTCGAGCCAGAGTAGATAACTAAAAGGAAATTTCTTTAGAACACAACATGGAAGACACACACATGAACTCACAGAGGTTCTGACAGTACACACAAGACCTGAGCAACCCCAGGCCAGACCTCATCCCAGGCAAGAGAAACAAGAAGGGGATGAAGTCCCACACACCTATCCAAGTTATTGACATTGTCACCAGCTTGGTGAGAAAGAGTCAGTTTTCTCTAAGAGTTGTGGGTCATGCAAAAGTTGAGGGAGGGAAGATGAATATTATTAAAACATGTAAGAAATTCTCAAAGAACTAATAAAACTATGTTAAAAATAAATCAGTGGAGGAGGGCAATACAAACAATAAACCTGAATAAGTAACTGAAGGATCTCTACAGTAAAAAATATGGAGAAAGTAACCCAGGAACACACTAGGAAAGACCTCCAACATTTATAGGTTGTGCAATTATCCTTCTAAAAATAACTATTCTACCCAAAGTAATTACATATTCAACACAATCCCAATCAAAATCATCATGATACTCTTCCTAGAATATAATAAAATTTTAAATGTCATATAGATATCCAAAAGACCTAAAATAGTCAAAAGAATTCTGAGCCAAGAGAACAAAAATGGAGGGACTGTCATATCTAAAATTAAGTCATACTACAGAAGCATACTAGTGAAAACAGTATGTTACTGTCAGGAAAACCGACATGTAAATCAACAGACCTAAGTCCATGCAATTAAGTCACTTGATTTTCAATAAAGAAGGCAGAAATACACACTAGAGAGAAGACAACATCTTGAAAATCAAACTAGATATCCACCTTAAGAATAAAAAGAAATGGATCTTTTGGATGGCCTGACCTGCCACATGGGGTCATGGTATTATCCAGGCCCAAGCTACTTCCTAGGGCTATGTCTGGATCTGTGACCCTGCATTAGTCAGGGTCTGAATTGATGTCCATGGCTCTTCAAACACCAACATGGTCTAAGGTGGCTGAGGACCTTGTTGCCACTGGGGAAATTCTGATATGGGTCTACTCATTCTTCCTGGCATCCCCAAGCCTGTTTTTCTCTAATTGATATTGGTTCTTTCTTTGTTGCTTCTTTTGTTTCTGCTCCATACCCTGTCACCCACACTTTTCTTTTCACTTTCCAGTTTCTGTGACATAAACAGGCTGAAGGAAAAGAATATTTTGTATTCCCTAGATT